TCATGTGTACCTGGTGAGTGGCACTAGTAGACCATAAAAGCGTGTGGCCCGCCGGTTAGGATGTGAGGTACACAATCCATCGGAGCTGTCACTCCTGTGATACAGGTGTAGTTCAATGAGAAACCTAGTTCTTAAGGCTAAGCATTTATAATACTTTTGTTTTTGGTATGTTATTTTCTCGGCCTGTACACCATTACCAATCTCCCCAATCAATTACATAGATTTTCACACCACTATTATTAAAAAACGAACAGTGAGGTCATAATCTTTCAAGCACACATATATAGGTCCTCTGATTTCCTATATATGAAATATGAAAAGTGGAAAATCCATATTGTACTATCAGTCAGCATGTAACAATTTAATTTGGAGAGGGATAGTGTGCTAATCGATATACAACTGACGTGAAGACAGTAAAACGAGGAGTAGACAAGATGGGTGGTCACGATTAAAGCTGATTCTTAGAATTTTCAGTAAAAAGTTTAGTCTTACCTGTATACTATTGACATATCAGGTATTTTTTTATTTAATATTTATTATGTATTTAATGGATCAAGTGATAATTAATGGAAATATCCAATATATTCAAGTTAGTTTGTACTAGGATTAGTACTTTTTATCCTTCCACCCAAGATCTTTGACAGTACTTAGTTCCAGTATTAGTCCAATATGAAACTCTATTAGTCCCGCAACTGTCCTAAGTATATCTTGGTTTCAACTGGGATAGTCCATCCAGGAGGAGGGGAATTACGCAAATGAAAGCCGCATGACGCACATCTTCTTTCTTCTGCTTTAGGGTTTAACTGGCAGGAAAACCACAACATTCCGGACGTACCTGGCACACCGAAGTCCCGGACGGAATCCCCGGAGTTGAGGACTGGCTTCCAGTAGAAGCTGCTGGACTCCCGGCAGCTCTACCTGCTAATAATATATAATGACCTAATATGCTAATGCGAGCAAAGTAAAATGGCGGATTCGCAAACACTGAGTTTTTTCGGGGGCGGTTGGTGTGCAATATCGCCCAGCCAAATCAGACAATTGAACCTTTTTCCTCCCTCAGGGAATGTAAACCTCTTAGCAGGGACTTCTGGGGGTGAAAAGGTTTGCATGAACTAGGTTTCTAGTTTCAGATATTTTTGGTGTGAAACCAAAAATCCCAAAGAACTATCGGTCCTTAGTTCTTTGGGAAAAGTACTCCGATGTGAAAGCGCCTATTGTGTTAAAATGTCTCTATCTCTATAATGTATTCATTGGTAGTTTACTCATTCTTAACACTGCATTTATGTTCATGTAATTTTTTATGTTATTTTATTATCTTTTACTAGCTTTTCATGACTGTTTTGAATGCCAATTTTATAATTGTGTTTCCATCTTGCACTATTTTCCTAATGCTCTTAATGTCCTTTCATTTTTGTAACCTCACTGTTGAATTTCCTGTGTTTGAAAAGGTGGCTAATGTAAATCAAATTGCTACCTTGCCTTATTGATTAGACCCTCCAGAAAAACGCGGGCAAAAATCCTTGAATTATGCGGGCTAAATTCCTTGATTATGCGGGCTAAAATCCTTGATTATGCGATTAAACATGCGGGGTTTTATGTGATTTTATGCGGTGAAATTGCGGGGGAAGTTAGCAAATATGCCGGAAAGTTGCGAAATATGTGCTAAATATGCGGGGGAAAAAGAATGAACAATTTTTTTAAATATTGGGGCTGTCTTATTTATTCTCTCTCACACACAACCTGCCACTAACGTTAAGCCCCTTTACTATTGAAATTAAACACATTCAATGTTTATTTATTGTAAAAGCAATGGGGGCTATTTTAATCTCACACACACACACCACCCCCCACCCCACACACAAACACACCACACACCACACAGTCACACCACACTTCTCGCCTCATTACTGTTTTCATTTTACTCGTTCGTTAACTGACCAACTTCAATCTTGTAGGCTACCTCACTTCGTTTCTTGTAGCCCTCGAAAGGGTTTTTGGAGGTTGATCCTCGGTGAACGGGAGTTGAATGGCTTTCTTGTCCGCAGCAGCAGAAAGCATTTTCGAATGTTTGAATGAATCAAAGTGGGTCGCCACCGTCGATTTTCTCTTATGCTGCAACACAGTTGCACGGGGTGCAGAATAGTTTCCCCCCACTTTTTGCCCGGTCTCTAGTAGAAATGTTCGTTGGTAAATGAGCTCTATACAGTGTTGTTTACATTCTGTGATGCGCGAGCTGATGACGTCACGTCAAGACGAGTTAACTTTTTTTTCTTCTCAACTTTGTGTGGAAAAATGCGGGGATTATGCGGCCTTTTGATAAATATGCGGCTTTTTAAAAATCTGCGCCATTTTGCTGATTATGCGGTAAATTCTGCGATCGCAGAATCGCGTTTTTCTGGAGGGTCTAATTGATGTATTACAGCTCTTCAGATTTTTGTATAGGCTTTTGTAATATGTCAACAGAGGTGTAAACTTTTCCACACGAAATTGACCCTTTAAGCTTTCCATATTTTATCACGAAAGCCTTAGTTCTTTGTGCCAAAAGCATAGTCAAACGGCACAGTTATCATATAGGCTTCCTGTGTGTATTTTTTACATTCATAACTGCTTGAGGATTCTGCTTCAGATACTCACATGCTGGCGGTCTTCAGCATGTAGCTGACTGGACGCTCCTCTTGGTTCTCCAGCAGTTTAAGATTAAAGACATTTGCCAAGAGCTGGCCCTGGTCTTCGAGATCTTCAGTCCTCAACATGGACCGAGTGCATGAGTCCAGAACCTGGAACTTTTCCCCACTGACAAACAAGTTGATTGAATTAATATTTGTTCAATGTAAACAAACATTTACTAAGATTATGGTGCTGTGGAATTCATTTGTAAAATATATTTGTCATGTGGAGGACAAACATTTAAAATGATAAATTATGGTACTACATCCTTTATGATAAATCATTCATTTGAATCAGCACAACACAACACTTCTAATGAAAATGTAATTAATTGATTAATTTAGGTTCAGGAGCAGGGCCATGCCTCAACCCCACCCATCCTTAGCTACATCCCTCAATCCTTCCACCTATCAACCCAT